TTCTTTTGAGTTGGAGTTTCACTCTGTCGCCCAGGCTGGTGTGCAGTGGCATGCTCATGGCCACCCCAGCATTGTCCTGCTGGGCTCAGGTGATCCTTCTGCCTCAGCCTTCCAAGTAGCCAGAACTACAGGCATACGCTCTCACACCCGGCTAATTTTTCTTGATGTATTGTAGAGATGATGTTTCACCAAGTTGCCCAGGCTGTTCCCAAATGCTTTCATATCCATTATTATTTCTTAGTTTTCACATCAGGAGGTAAACAAGCTGGACATTATGACTACTCCCACTTTATAACTGAAGAGACAGGCTTGGGACTTGGCTTTCCCTGAGAGGCAGTGGTGGGCATCTAACGCTGGTCTCTTGACTTCAATACTCAGTATATGGAGAGACTGAATGTTGATTCTCCCTCCTGAAGGAGGGAGAGAAGAAGGAGAGAGTGATGAAAGGATCTGGAAGAATGGCAAGAGGGTAATCTACCCTCAGGGTCCAAGATGGAGCCCTTTTCTGGGTTACCTCAGCTCGGCAGCAATGGGAGATGTAGCCACTGGGACATTTCATAGAAGAAAGTGTTGTTTTTAAGAAACAATAAAAATCAGTGGATGCTCTTGAGAATCTCCACCAGGTCTGTAGCCACGTGGGTCCTCTCCCTTGCCAACCTGAGTAGATAGCCTTGTGTCCTGGCCACCACAGACCACAGCCTCACATTCACATAGGGTCATGCTGGAGCTAGCTTGTGAGAGTTGACTGTTAGTTTCTCTTCGCCGCTCTGTGTTTGCTGATGTCATGTCAATAGCATGAAATTGGCTACAGCGGGAGCACTTATGCCACAAGGACTGGCAAGTCATACACTCAGGGCATTTTTCCCTGGGGAGTCGGTTATTAACATTCACCAGCACAACATAGCATTCGGTGATGGCTGGACTGAGGGATACCTCGGTATGGTGACACTCAGGAATGTCAGCAGGGTAACTCTTTCAGCTCTTCCCAAAGGGAGGGGACAACAGTTCTAGTCTAGGAGTCATGTGTCTTGGTGACCCATGTAACTTGGGTGTGTCGCTCCACCTCTCTGAGACTCGTCTGTACAATGGGAATGATGTCTCTTCAAGGGGCTACCGTCAGTGAGGTGCATAAGCGAGCTCTGCACGAGCCCCTTTCTAGTGAGAAGCTGACCATTAAGTCCTCTGGCCTCCAGAGCACCCATCAGCTGCCTGCCTGATCCCTGGGACCACTTCCACCTTCCCTGTCCCCTCCATGTTCCACCGAAGGCCTTGTCCATTCCGCCACCAGCAGGGACATGAGGGGAGGGGGCCAGGGGAGACTATGTCAGTCCTAAATTGTGCTTAATAAATCCATATCAAAACCATAAACACTGGGCCGCCATAAAGTCCTCTGGCCTTGGTTCCTCCAGCTCATCAGCCCTTTGCCCCAGCTAATCTCAAATCTCAGAGTAGGCAGCCAGAACGTCAGGCTTGGTTTCAATTTCAGCTGCTGAACACCAGCTCAGGTGACAAACAGCAAAATCCCCATTTCAGAGATGATGAAACTGAGGTCCAGAAAGGGGAAGAAACTTGTCCAAAGTCACACAGTGAGAGAGCCCTTGAGCCGAGGCTTGAGCCCAGGCTTCCTCCACCAACCCAGTGGCCTGATTGAGAGTTGGGACTTTTGAGAAGATGCCTCTTTTCAGCCCCGCTCTGAAGGTTGTTTCCCCAAGCCATGCTACTAGAAGGCACCACCCCAAATGGAGCCTCAGTG